GATGCCGTGGGCGAAGGCTGCGGTGGTAAGTTTTGCCTTTGGAGCGCCGTAACCAAACCTCGAGGGGGTTGGAAAGCCATGAGAAAACACGGGGGAAAAGGAAATGTTCGAACCAAAAGCTGGTGAGCGGAATCAAGCGGGTAAGGTCACAAGGTGAGAGAACGGTCGCGGAAAGGCAGAACAGCAAAGCAAAGAAAAAAGGCGATCAAACAGTGCACCAATTCTTTTCCTGGTTGGGTGGAAGATGGTACACTTGCGCCCCGCTAAGCCGGGCGCTGCAGCGCGATGCCTCTCAGCATCGCAAACTTGGAGTGAAGGCACCACTTTTTGCCTCGGCGGCATGCGAAGTGGCGCCGCACGTTGTGTTGATCCTCGTGGCTTCCCCCGGATTCGAGGATTTTGTGCTGATTGATGGAGCGTAGTTCCCCAAAAGCGATGGCGCCGAGTTGAGACTTTCCGATTGTAAAGTTCTGCAAGAGCTGGCCGAGCGTGTCGGGCGTGCATGCCGTGGGGGTGGCCTGAGCGTAGCATCCAAAGCTCGGGTAGTCATGGTTCTCGGGCCTCCAAGCAGCGGGTCGGATCATGTTCTCATGGCACATGCGGCGCACTCGATCCGGGGTGGTGCCGTGCACATACATGACAGCGTGATGGGAGGCCGTGCCGGATCCAGCTTCCGGGTCTCCGCCAGCAACTGGCCAAGGATGAGGTCGGGGAAACCAAGTGGTTGCGAACACCATGCCGTGTGATTCCCGTCCCAAGAGGTGGTAGAAGCTGGGATCGAACGGTATGGGATCATCCGTGTCCATGGTTCGCAGTTCCCAGCATTCCGCGAGGAGATCGGCATGTGAAGGTGGCAAAGCAGGGTCCAGGTCCATCAAAATGGCCTTAGTCTGTTCCACCCTGGAGATGTCCAAGGCTGGAAGCGGGTCCAGCTCCCCCAACTCCCTAGGCGTGGGAACTCGCAGCGGGTCAGTCTTGGCCGTGTCCATGACGTTTCTCCATAGATCAAGCCACCGGTTGTCGGAAGTGGTGGTGGCATTGATGTCCGCCTCCGATGGAGGGGGATCCAAATCACCGGTGTTGTCGAAGGGGGGTTGGGGAGGGTGAGGAGTAGCCGGCGTGGGTCGGGGAGGGGGAGGGGGAGTGGAAGTGAAGGCCGCCGCAGGTGCTGGGTGAGGGGGCAAGCTAGTGTTGTGGTGGCCGGTGCGGGAAGTGGGGTGGGGTTGCTGCCCATGGTGCTGCAGTGACCAGGACGATCGTTTGTCCTGGTTGTTTCGGTGGCCGGTGTGGCTGGCGCCATGGTGGTGCATGTCCCAGCGGTTTTTGTTCTGTGGTGGGTATCCCCACGATTGGTTCCGCCAGTGTGAGGAGGACCATTGAGACTTGTTGGAATCCTTCCCGGAAGTGCGCCAGGAGGTGGAATCATGAGTAGTGTGAGTGGGTCGGTGCGAAGTCGTGGCTCTGGGTGCAGGGGAGTGTCGATGGTGGGACCTGTGTCGGGGGGAGCGGGAGCGGAGGGAGACAGTGGAGTGGTGTGCACGTCGGGAGTGGTGGAAGTGTCGGGAAAGGGAACGTGACCTGCTGTAGCTGCGGGATCGTCGGGTGTCGTGTCGTCGGTGCGACTTGTTGTGCCTGCGATGGTGGCTGGTGTGGGAGTGGGAGTGTCGGTGCTGTCTGTGGCGGGAACGGGATCTGCGAGAGTGGGGATGGTGCCGAGTGTCCGGGGGAGGGTGGTTGGTTGAGGAGGTAGCGGCAGGAGCCGCAGCGGCAGCTTCGGGCGCGCGCGCCGGCTGAGGCTCGGGCGGTGAAGATGGCATGCTGCTCTGAGTCATGAAAGGCATGATGGTGCCAGGTGCCAAGTTGCCGTAATTGGGAGGGCCACCGTAGGGCATCATGGCCATCGGGTTGCCAAAGTTCGAGAGGCCGCCGTAGGGCATCATGGGGAAAGGTGTGAAGGATGCCGTCTGCGAGTTGGGTGACGGTACAAGGTTCATGGGCTGCGTCATCTGGGATGACAGCTGCAAGTTCGGTCCACAATTGCCTGGTGAGCCGGACGCGGTGCCGGTCGCAATGCTGTGCAGGAGCGAATGCATCATGTCATAGAGCTGGTGTCCAGCCATCTCGCAAGGGAGAGAGAAGGTTGGAAAGGGGTGAAAACAAAACCACAACTGCGGCAAAAATGCGTCAATGGTGCAAATGCATGCGAGCCAACTTCAACCTGCGAATCGAAACCAAACAGAGGGAATTCCACCAGGGGACCGCCAAAACCCCGCGGCAACGGCAAAAGTTTCCACAGAAATGCATGCGAGCACAAAGGGGTTCTCAGAGGTGCCTGTCAAGTGGCCTCATGAAAGTGCCTCATGTGGCTATGCCGATGAATCTGAACTGAACTCATCCGAGACGAAAGCTTCCATAAACGCCACGAATCGCAGAGTTGGTGTATGACCAACTCGTCACTGGCGCATGAAGCTTAGGAACCTGAAACCTCGTGGGTGCAGCCTTGCTTCAAAGGCAGGCAGTGCAGGCAGTGCAACGCGCATGAAACCAGCAGAGCACCATTTGGGTGCGGAATACCTTAAGACCTCAAGCTGCAGCCTTGATCGTGGTCAAACGCGCTGAACTGAACTGCAGCTTGAATTTGAACACTTGAACGGTCTTCCCCTCGCAGGGGGCTCCCGCATGTGGCGAGTCCAGCCCACAGCGCCATGTCGGACAGGCCGTGGGTAAACACACTTATCTCGAGAGGCTTCACTAGCCGAGATGAAAAACGCAGTCAGTAAAAATGCTTGAATGCAAATGCAAATCAACAGGTCACAACATCGACACCGAACAGGAAGCAACAGCGACAAACAGAAACCGCAAAAGGAATCAGGAAAGAGGGTCAGGAAATAGGCAGGTACGCCGGATTGATCAGATCCGGTATCCACCGAAATGCCGTAGCTTCATTGGACTGGATAGGCAAATCGGCTCCAGTCCCCCTGCAATGTGGAATTTCCGTCCGTGCTCCAGGACGCTTCACACACACACACACACACACACACACACACACACACACACACACACACACACACACACACACACACACACACACACACACACACACACACACACACACACACACACACACACACACACACACACACACATGCGCAGAGACAAACCAAGCAGGCCAAGCGAACCATTAAACAATTAAGCATGCAAGCACAGTAAAAGATAGGAAGCACACAATAACTCAGCCAGCTATGACATGCAGGGAGAGACATAGCGAGAGAGAGAGAGAGAGAGAAAGAGAGAGAGAGAGAGAGAGAGAGCGACAAAAGAGGCAAAGAAGCAGAAAGACAGAGAGACTGAGACACAGATAAAAACAACAGACAAATAACAACCAAGCAAAGAACACAGAGCCGAAAGCGCAACAAGAGAGCAAGGCAAGCAGACAAGCATAAGCCCAGGCAAGCTAGCAAGCACCGGCAAAAAAACGCACACACAAGGAAGCAAGGAAACAGGGCCAAATATTATGATCCTGGTTCTCTTGCATTTCTATGCGTGGCCAATGTAGCATCAACCAAAAAACCCAATCAGACCTTTGAAATCCTGAGAGTCAGAAAGGTTTCAGCAGAGGTGTTCAGAATCTTTGGTCATTGTCCCATACGCAAACCCATGTGATAGGAAAATCATGTACGGGGCCTCAGGTGAAGACTACGAACATATTTGTTGTTTTGCCGGTTGCTCAAGAGTCAAATCCGCTGGTGGTTTCTTAGTGGGCCAGCGGATTGTGCGGCCTAGGCGTGTGTCACCCAAGTTTTGCATTGCGGGCACGCGGTTCAGGGAGCTGCTTGCGACCGCCCCTCTTTGGAGTTGAGTTGCAAGCGGCGCAACGCTGTTAGGCCTGTCCGTATTTGGGGTCTTCTGGGGTCGAGGGAACCCTGAAAAGGAATCAGTTTAAAGGGAGACCACCCGTTTTCTGGTTTCCCTCGAGCAAGACAAACCCATATCTTAGTTTGCGCGCAGAGGTCCAAAAGGATGCACGAGGTTGTGCGGCATTTGCCTTTGCGTGGCGGAGGCGGATGTCAAGGGGCCTATATGTGCCCCATGTGAAACGAGTCTACCCCCCAATCCGGAATGCATCGGAGTTTGCCAAGAGCAGTGACCCCTTTGATCAGAAATGGTGGGTTACAAGTGGCAAGCAATCAGCCTTACAAAGCACACCACACTTGGACAGGTTTGGCCGTTGCAGAGTCTTTCAATCAGAAATGGTGGGTCAAAAGTGGCGTTCCGTGGGGCATCAGGTGTTTGTCAATACCCCCCTGCTTTCCGATGAGCTAGGACTTAATCTCAACTGTGGTCTCAGCATATGTTTAGAAGCGGGCTATGCAAACATGATTGTTGTTGGGAAACAAGCTACATATTGTGGTTTAGTGGTTGAAATCCCCACTTAACTGCTAAAAAATAGTTTTTGCTCCCCTTCCAACGTCAACCAAGCAAAGGCTGAGGCCATTGACGCTCCAAGCAGTTGTTCGCATGACTCCCCAGCTGGGCACTTGCAAGTTTCTTAGCAGGCCCTCTCTCGGGGGGCCCTGATGTTCTGAGCGAACAGCCAGGCGCAGCGAGAGCAAGCAACCGAGTGTGTAAGGGACTTTGGAGCGACAAGCGAGCAAGCAGGGGATGATCTTCAGAGTATGCATGCCAACAAGCAAGTCAATAGTCTTGGGGATACCTTTTTCAGGTTGGGGAGCAAACCTAGTCATACTTGGAGCAGGTGCTGAGATACTTGGGCCGTTTCGTTGTCCTTGGTGTGGCGTGCCGTGTGGCTTCCAGGTTGACTTGCCGCAAGTTCTTTTCGCAGCTGCCTTTCAGGGATAGAATATCTGAGGGAGAAGCCCGAAGGGATTTTTTCCCACCAATCCCAAGTGTGTAGATTTTTACCCTCCCACAAATGAACAGACCATTTTCCTCTTTTTTTCGGGACCTTTTTTCGGGACCCCTTGACGTGCCCTGGTTGCATGTTGGTTGCCTGGGTTCCGTGGGGATCCCAGGAGAGGCGGTGTGCGCCGGCGCAGACGCGGTCAGCGGTTTCGGGCTGCATCTGGGGGATCTGCTGCTGATCCCGGAGACCGATGTCCACTGGGGCGATGCGGTGAATACCGCCAGCAAGTTGGGCCAGGCGACGAGCCCCGAAGACGCAAAGCGCGCGTTGAAATTTGGGTGCGAGAAGGTATCCTCGGGGTGACTCGCTTTTTGTTCTTTGTGTTTCTCGTTTTTTGTCGTTTGTTTTTTTTTTGGGGGGGGGAGGGCTGATTAGAGGCTCACTGCTTTGGTTGTTTGTTGTGTGTGGGTGACGTTTTTTTCACGTTGAGCTTCGAAGCAGCTGGCTGCGACAAAGCCTCTTAGCCCTTGGATATCGGGCTCTTTGGAAGCCACTGACGGCATCTCCTCAGGACGCTGCAGTTCGTTGTGTCAGGTAACCCATCAGGTTGGTGGTTTGGATTGGTGGTAGGTTTTTGGATTTGGATTTGAAGGCCTGGCTTTAGAGATGTTTGTTTCTTTTTATTTTTCCTTCATGCAAACAGTTCTTTTTCGCCTGCGAAAACCCGGTCCATTGTTGGGCAACTGGTTAACAATAGGCCAGAGTGTTTTCTGATTGTGATCTGAACCCAGTCCCACTTGCCTAAGGCTGAAGGCGACATGGAACAGAGATTCCAAGCCCATGTGGCTTACAAATCACAGAGAAGTGAACACAAGCGATCAATCCCCCTCCTTCGCCCAACAATTGTTCCAAACAACATTCCGCAGTATTCTGCAACAGTTGGGATGGACGAAACCCTGTGAAAACTGAAGCCACCTACCACTGCTGCCGGTTGAAGCCACCCGAAATAAAGAATATGACCAAGGTCCAAGTGCCTTAGGACGTACTTAGGCCATCTACGACCCGGGCCTACTGATGGACAAGATCCACTTCCCACCAGTTCGGTTTAGTTGTGCTCAGTAGCAGCCCGGGTTTCGTCCAAGCTTCCCCAGAATTAGCTTCCCCTTTTGGTTGTTTTGCTTTTTGGGGGTCCCTTTGTTTTCCACTAACCAGGCAAGAAAGATATGTATTTTTGGCTGGAGTCCTAATTCCAGCCTAGCAAGTGCCCAGCAAAATGGGATCAATGATTGGACATGTTGCAAGTGTGGAGGTATCTTCACTGGGTGGGGGGGGGTGTCCGGGTGTCCCCCAAAGTTCCACTATTGATCCCATGTTCCCTTGTCTGGGAAAGACGGGACAAATGGAATTGGAGGACCTCCCACCCTCCCTTAAGGCAGGGGGGATGTGGAGGTTGTGTCCAAATCACGGAGGGCTCCTAGGAATTCCGAAGCAAGCTCAACTTGCTTACTTGATTCCGGTCCCCCAGTAGTGCCCTTTTACCCTTTTTTGGGGGAGGGTTCCCCTACTAAAACAGACGGGGGCTGGGGAGAGGGGAGGGGAAGCCCAAATAAGCCCTTACTACCGTAAAAAGGCCTTGCTGAGGACTTATTTGGGCTCCCTCCCCCCCCCCTGCCCCCCAGCCCCCCTGATTTCTTGATTTGTCCGGAGGACATTGCCACAGATCAGAACATCCTCATCTCCGCTGCAGTGCAGCAGGCCATCCGCGAGCCCAACGGACTTGGCCTGGAGACTCTCGGATGCGATGACGCTTCAAGCCCCCAGGTGAAGATGGAACCCATCCCATCCAGAGCAGACTTTTAGGGAATTGGCATCCTTTTTGAGTTGAATCTTTCATCCCATCCAGAGCAGAGAACAATTTGGGGGGAATTGGCACCCCCCCTTTTTGAGGTGAATGTTAGTTTCAAAGAGCCAGTTCCCCTTCAAGAGTTGTTGTTTTCTTTTTCTGGTGGGTCCCATTGCCGCGACTTTTGGAGGTCCAAACGCGGGAACCTCGTTTGGGCGGGGTTGGAGGCCTTCTGCACCATCTAGTGTGAGGGGGTGGTTATAGTCAAAGGGTTGTTTACTCAAGGAAATTGGGGGGAGTCAATAGGGAGAAACCTAAAAAAGCTCAAGCTCTCTCTCAGTAAGTATTGCTCAGTACTGGTTTAGAATGGTTTGAGTTTTCCTTTGTACTGGCTCAGCTAGAATCGGTTTAGCATTCGTTTGGTATTCCTTGTGGGGAGTTGAGACAACTATTCGGAATGTCTCTATTTGCTAACCGCCACGACTTTAAAGGGGACCAGCAGGATGTTGGGTCAACAAAAGGTGTTTATACACAACTGCGCCTTTCAGGGCCCCCCAAATCGATTCTTTACCTTTGGTTTTCGTAAGCCACAAACATGGGGTAGCCTCAAAAAAGAAGAGCATATGTTATTGGCCCTTGCCAATCAGATCCAGTCCGCACGCGATACGGCGTAGGGGGTTGGGGATGGTCTAGGCGTTCGGGGTTTTTCTTCTGGGCTCAAGCATTGCAGGTTCGAGGTTTGGGTTGGCATCGGGGCGGCCAAGTCGCAGCAGGTGTAAAGTTGTGCCCCCTTTCCCATGGCTCGAGTAAGAGAAGAAGCAAAGACCATTTACAACCAACCCGGCCAGGAAACAAGATGATACAAGCCTCCTTCACAGCTCAACAGTCTAAGCCCCCCCATCCGAATCCCAGCCTGAAATCAGCAGGCAACCAGGCTCAGCTCATGCTCTTCTCAAGCCGATTTGATGAAACTGCTCATCCTTTCCATATTCGGCTTTTCACTTGCGCCTTCTTCTTTGAATCGGGGCCCCTTTCGAGATCCAACAACCTGAAGGCTTTCTTTGGTGCATTTTGCTTGGATGTTAGGACTTTAGCTTTTTGCCAGCTAAAGGGTTTTCAAGAAAACCACTAAAAGTCAAGCTTTTAGCAGGGGAGCAGAAAGCAACCCGAAGGTTTTAACCTCAAAGAGTCCCAAGGTTTTCCTTGGGGCGGTTGAACCAGCGCAAGGATGGAGCCTCTCACCGTGTCCCGGTCCAACGTGTCCTTCCAGTGCTTTCGCATCTCGCGACCTCCGCCTGAGCCGCTCGAGGCGGCAGGTGAGCCTGCGTAGCCAGAGGTTGGTTTGAGCCTCCTTTCACTGACAGTCTCGCCTTGATGGATGTTTTTTTCCCCAACCAGCCAAGTTGCTCCATTGCCAAAATGCCTTGCGATGAAACAGTGTTTCAAGCCTTTCACACCTTTCTGGCTTTGAGAGCTGGGGGGGATCCCCATCGATTTCCGGAGCTCGAAGAAGAAATGGTGAGCCGCTACTCCATCCGCACGCTGCCGTCGGCCCGTGAGGGTTCCCTGGGAAAATCTGGTCTCAACATCAGGGTCAAATTTATCATTCACCCAGTGTTGACGCAGTGTCAACGATTGAATCCCGAAACCATTTTTCGGTAAAGCATCCAAGGTGGCCCGACAAGCGTTATCCTGCGATGGCCTACGTAAGGTGACTTGAGCAGTCCCGAGCCAAGCTATCAGCCCTTCGTCGAAATTGATGAGCCTTTCTTCTGATAAAGCCCATGGTGCAGATAGAAAACTTCCTGCGACTCCCTTCAAGCTTCTTCATCCCTTGGAGGAGGGGGTACGGGTGACCCGAAAATTTCATGCATTCCCCCCATCCCCTCCAGTACAAAAATAAGCTTGGGCGATATCCCCAACAGCACCACACCCTCCCAGAATCCTCGCGGAACGCCCCGGGACCATCCTTACCGCCGGTGTTGCTGAGGATGCCGCCTTGTAACTTTCTAAAGCAAAGCTACGACTGACAGCGCAATCTCGCCCTGATCGGGGCCCGACGGCGCAATCGGGGCTCGATCGGGGCCCGACGGCGCAATCGGGGCCCGATCGGGGCCCGACGGTGCAATCGGGGCCTGATCGGGGCCCGACGGTGCAATCGGGGCCCGATCGTCCCGTGGTGCAACCCCCAGCCACCCATATTATAGCTCAACGCCGGTGTTCCTTAGCATGCGGATTGCAACTGTATCTATAGCAAAACTAGGCGATTTCCAACAAAGTTTCACGCTGAGCTCCACGAAACTTGCATGAGAACGGTTTGCGAGGTTCACCGGGCCTAGGTTGGGGGCCGATTGCACTGTCGGGGCCCGATTGCACCGTTTGGGCCCGATCGGCCCCGATTGCGCCATCGCGCCCCGATCGGGACCCGACTCAGTCGGCCTTTCCTCAGGGCTGCCCCATAGCTTTTGCAGAACCTGGTGGCAACCTTGTGACCTCATAGCCCTCGCAGCCTCGTGGAAGTCTTGGAGCCCAAAGCCCACCAAGCAGCAATGCCAAGCATTTACTCTGCTGCACCGTGAGTCCCGCAGCGACGTGATCTGATTTGCCACAAAGCCAACATTTGCCTGAGCAAGTGAGTAAGTCACAAAACAGTGAAAGTGTGCAAAAAACCATTGATTTCGGTTTTGCTCAGTGTTCCGCCCATGAGCAAACCGATCTTGATCCGATGGCTTTTCAGACGCCGGCGCACGACACACTGCTTCCCTCCAGGGCAAATCACGGAACCTTGCAGAACATTTCTGGAACCCTTGGTGGAACATTGTGGAGCCTTGTGGAACCCGTGTGGAATCCTTGCAGAGCTTTGTGGAAGCCTGTGAAACCTCAGGGCCCACAGCCCTCGCAGAATCTCGCGGAACCCTGAAACCCTCATAGAACCTTACCTCAAACCACCCCGGACCACCCCGCAGCCCTTGCAGAACCTCGTGGAACCCTGCTAGAACCGTGCTGGAACCTTCATGGAACCTTACCTTGCAAAACCTGGTGGAATTCTGGTGGAACCCTCATGGAACCTTACCTCCAAGCAGCCCGGACCGCTGGTGGAACTGTGGTGGAACCCTGGTGGAACCGTCGTGGAACCTTCCTCAAACCAGCCCGGACCACCCCGCAGCCTGGAACCCTCGTCCGGAGCACGACGGGCTGGTGGAACCCTGGTGGAAACCTGGTGGAACCCTCGTCAAACCTTACCTGAAAGATCCTTTGAGTCTAAAAATAGCCTCGGATGCGATTTAGACTCCTACAAGAATTTAGACTCAAAATGAGTCTAAATAAGGCGAGGCTAAATTTATGTTGAAACATTATTTAGCCTCAAATTAGCTTCAATTTAGTCTCAATTTTATGTCAATTGTCCATAGATTTTTGCTTGGAACCAACACTGCCAACTATTCGTTACTGCAAGGGAATCCGCACAAGCGCGCGCAAAAAATGGTATAAGTACAAGAGGGAAGCTTCGCAAAACCCACGGGCGGCCGGCAGCACAAGCGTTGGAAATGCTGGGCATGCCCGCAATACAAGTCCACATTTGCTATATGATCTGCGCACAATGCAAGTGGGAAGCAAACAGATGTTTCACACGTGGGCCGCCCACAATTCAAAACTGGCACGTGATGCAACCCTGTAAACGCCGGCTCCGCACAGTACAAGCGTCCAGCGCATTTCTTTTTATATACATGAGTGGCCGGTCGTACAAGCGGCGGCGGCTGTGCCACTATACATAGTGTACATGCGGTGGGGGAGCTTATATAGCGACTCCGCAGCAGAAGTGCTGTGACGTGCACAAGCGGCAACATACAAGGCTTTCCACGGTATACAACTGTGAGTGTGGGCAGGTGCAGTACAAGCGTCCAGCGCATTTCTTTTTATATACATGAGTGGCCGGTCGTACAAGCGGCGGTGGCTGTGCCACTATACATAGTGTACATGCGGTGGGGGAGCTTATATAGCGACTCCGCAGCAGAAGTGCTGTGACGTGCACAAGCGGCAACATACAAGGCTTTCCACAGTGTGGGCAGGTGCAACTGGCAGCCCAAAACTGTGAAGGCGCAGAGGACAAATGCAACACGAGCAGAAAGCCCTTCAATTTTGCAGCTGCAGCAGGTTTGACAAAAAAGGCAGACTGGCCATCCTGTACCTTTTAGCGGCCTTCAAGGCGACGCGGCCCGTCAGCAGCAGACCACATATAGTGGCAAGCCAGCCCATACTTTTCTGCCGCCTTCAAGGTGGCAGATACGTCCGTCCGGCCGCTCACACAGCTGCTAATCAAGGTGGAAATGCGGCCCATGAGGTCCTCACCTCGCCAGCACCAGGCCAAATGGGGATGAAGTTTGTCAGCCCATAGCGCGCTGTGAAGGCAATAGTGCAGCTTGGCTGACATATTGAACACCCGGACCTCCTGTGCAGCATAGGATTCTGAGAGCTGCACGTACAGCTGACCCAGCAGTCGTTGTTTGCGCACCAACTCTGCTGCATTCGGGGGCGGCAGTGCCCAGTACCCGTCGGCAGGCGAATGCGAGTCCAAGATCTCATCGCATTGCAGGCTGAGTTCCAGCAACAGCTTGATACGGATACCGTCCCGGGTGTGCAAGTCCCCATAGCGCTTCCACATCGCTATCATTGCGTCTCCCAATCCCCGAATTTGACCGGCTTTGCCGCGAAGCTTTGGAAAGTCTCGCTTCTTCACAAACATTGTCAGTTTGCGCAGCGTCCTGGCAGGGTAGCGCTCGCCATGTTGTGGGCGGTGGCGGTTCTGGAAGCTCATGATGAAGTTGGCGAGGGTCCTGAGGTTTTGCAATGGCGCGGCTGCCATGTGAACGAAACAGAGAAGCCAGAAGACGCTGCCGAACAGGTACTGCGCATACCCCAAATATTTGTTGTGCATATAATCGGGGAGCACCGCGATGCTGGTAAACCCGGGCATCTCGAAAAGAGGACAGGTGGAACGAATCGGCCTGCGAGCCCACGTCTCGGGTGTCCATTGGGTTCCTTCCCAGGGCGCGTTCTCTGAAAAATTCAGCCAAGTGAGAGGGCCTCGAAAGGTGGCACGGCAAAGTCCACAGGGCTCACTATGGGAGCTCCATCGTGGATGTCCCAGGAATTTCGCGCAATAATCTAAATCGCCGCATAAGCCTATAAGGCATGCAAAATAGCCGTCAGCAAGAGGCTCGCCGGCCCGATTCGCATCCGCAGAGCCAGGCTCATAGGCAACTCCCCGCCAATCCCGCCTGGGCCAGGTCCCTGCAAAAAGGGCAGAAAAGCTCCACTTCATGATGCGCATAAAAACGGCCACTGTCCCATCAGGCCCCTCAACCGCACATTGCGGAGCGTGCGCCCAAATCAAGTTCATTGCCTGAAGGGTCGGCACGCCGACGGCCATGACGGAGAACCAGGACAGCAGCAGCGAAAGCTTGCACCATACCTTCCCCCGGCCAACCGTTGGGACTTCATCCCCGTGCAGCGCAATCGGCACGCACCTGGCCTCAAAATTGGCCCTTCGCAGGATTGGATGATTGGCAAGCTGCGGCATGCGCTTTCCAGTGGTCCAGAACTCCTGAAGAGCGTCCTCTCCGCCAGGCATGATGTACTGCCCGAAGGCCGCCCTGTAGTGGTGGTACATGCTGGCAAACATCACATGTGGGAGAAGGATACCGGCAGTCTCATCACCCTGCTTGGTTGGGATGTTCACTGAAAAGGGCATGGGGATGGACGGAATTTTGCAAGTCATCCGCATAATGTCGCGGTAGCAGTTATTCAAGTGCCTGCCTCCAGATCCCAACTCGCTCAGCTTCCGCAAATCCACGGGGATATTTTCTAACAGAACCCCAGCGGCTGTCATGTCTTTCACTGCCAAACTGGCAAGGCGCTGGCATTCTTGCGGGGGTTTCTTTCCCAGAGCAAACTCTTCCAGCAGGTGCGTGGCAAGCTTCGAAGTGCTGGGCGCATTCTCTAACGCAGACGCCTGGAGCCTTTGTTGTACTCCACCTCGGCGCTTCTTCAACGGCGGGCCCGGCTCATCGCCCATGATCGCACCACAGTCCGCAGCGCCCAAAACTCTCAGGCCCGGATTGGTTTCTCAAGTGTTTCGCACTGTGAGGCAGTGTTGGGCAATCACAGCTAAAATAGTATATTGCACCAATTTGAACCCATGTTGTGCTCTGTAAATATTTTGTGATGCGAATTTGGTTGAATTCTGCAGTTGTACACGCGAGAGTTAGCCGGAAACACTCTTGTAAGTTGTACTACACTTGAACTTGCTGCCAGCGTTGCGCCACAAGGCTT